ACTGGCGTCGACGTTGAATTTGGCGCTGTGTATCCTTGGAGAAGATCGTTCCGAGTCCACCGCGCTGGAAGCATATGGACGGCAGCATCAGCTCACGATCGCATATCGCTACGAGCACTCGACGAGGACGAAAGAACGCTGGCTCCACTCGCCACGTCGACCAACTAAAGATGATGATGAAGCTTACAATAACCGTTTAGAAAAATTTGCATTCGTGGTACTCAGTGATGGCTCACGTTACCACACAAGTGTATATATGTCCTCATAAACCACCACCGTGCATGGAGTCGCACCAGACCACGGATCGTTTCAAGGTGCATTTTTGGTGTCGTTAATGCATACACCGCGCCTTGTTGGGTAGAAGAGGGCAAGAACCGACATCAATGGCTCCATGGCGACGCTCGGCTCATGGCCACTTGCATGTTGTACATCGGCAAAGTCGTATCATGCATGTTACCTTGTGTCGTGGATCGCAGTAGTACACATACGAGTCGTTTGCATATACTAGAGCCCAGCCCTTTAATAGGTCAGTGGTTATAAGTTAAGTTGGAGCAGACACCACGCACTCTGCTTCTGCCACAACCGCCTCGTCATGAATTGTGTCAATCATTTCTGTTGCACGGCTTTTTCACGTGTGTTTCACAACATATGCAGGAGCACTCTAGTTCCCCATCTGAGCCGGCTGGAATGCATCCGGATACGCCATGTCAGATTGCCTCTTGAGATGACGACCGACAACCGACCGACACCGTGGCTGCTGCTTGCTTCGCCGATTGCGCTGCAGATTCTCGACTACCTCGACGACTCGTTTGACGCGTGCGCCTTTCTTCAAGCAGCGCCCGACGGCAGCCTCGATGACGCGCTCGACGCGCTACGGACGCTCTTGGCCATGGACTTGGACTCGCTCGATGAACTTTGGCCGAGAGCCGACATTGCTCCTCTGGACGAGGCCTACAGACACGATCCGAGCGTCGTCGCGAGGGCGCTTCCTCTCATCAAGAAGATTGATTTGGGCTTCTGCAGGAACTCGTCGAGCATTTGTCATGCCACAGCGCTGCCACCGACGACCGCCGTGAGCGCCTACATCGACCTCGACGACATCAGTGTCCGCACACTCCTCGGCAAGTGGCTGCCCAACCTCGTGGATCTCAAAGTTGTGAGCCAAAATGAGCGCAATGTTGCGCGTATTGTCCAGAACGACCTCTCGGCATGCCACGGCCTCCGTGCATTGACCCTCGCCCAGCACGCAAAGATTACCCAAGGCACGTTTACCGATGTGCTCTCGGCAGTCGTCGCACAGTGTCCCTACGTCGAGCGTATCGGTTTCGAATCGACCAAGCTCTCGCTCATGTCCAACGGCAAGGCGCTTCTCGCGTGGCTAACGCGGTCACATGCCCACCGTCTCGAGCTGCATCACATTGACTTTCACGATGAGCTCTGTGACGAGTTGGCCACGGCCCTGCTCACGTCCACGTCGCTCGAGACGATCGTACTCTCGGGAGGTCCGAGCCTCACGCGCGCAATGTTCAGTCCGTCGTCGCCGCCGCTGCCGCAGCAACTCCGTCACCTGACGATCTTTGACTACCTCCACGAGTATGATAGTTCCAGCTACGCGATGGCGTACGATTGGGATTATCGCGCGCCGGTGTTCTTCCTCCACGGTGCCTTGGGCGCTCTCGCCGCCAAGATTGCAGCCTCACGCCTTGAAACTTTGGAGTTGGGGCCGCACTATCCCACCAATCTCACGTCCGTGGTGAACATCTTGCCGTCGCTGAAGACGCTAACGAAACTCCGACTCCAGGAGACCCAATTGACCGCGTTCCCACCGCTGCGGCAGCTCTTGCATCTCGAGATGACCCGCATGTATGTTACCGACGAGGCCTTTGCGTCGCTCACCACGCTGCTTGGCTCATCGCCCGATCTCGTGCATCTCGATCTCGATTTCGATGGGCGCACTTTCTGGAGCCTGCCGCCCGACGACGACGTCGAGACGATGCTGCGGGCCATGGCTCACTGGTTGAGCCATCGTGGGGCCGATTGCAACGTCCGCCTCAACATCAAGACCGATGCGAGCGCCACGGCCCTCGTAGCGGCACTCGCACAGACGCGCAGCTCGCATGAGATCACGTTCTCGATTGGCGCCTACGGCATCTCGCTCGACGTCAAGGAGCAGCTTGTCGCGGCACTCGCGTCAAGCGCATCATCGCAATCTCATGTGTCGAGTTCTTCACTCTACACGAGCGGGCTCGGCCTAATCAACGAGTCCTAATCGAGTCCTAATCGATAATCAACGGCTGACCGCATCTCGCGACGAGCACATGACCTAAGAAGAAAGAGTTTGCGACAAAGCTCAAAGGTCTTCAACACGCTTCACATGTTTCATCATTGGTGTCAAAATGTTAACATACCAAGTAGTTGCGACGACGACGAACCTGGCTTGCGATTCGACTCTAATCATCCAATTTCATCCAATTTCCGATGTCGTTTTCTGTCCAAATTGCAGCGCCAACCCTTTTTCAAATGCAAAAAGACGGTCGACGATTTTGTCATGATTGAATAGCTGTCATGGTCCACAGTCATCGGCGTTCTGGTCCCATCGCATGTCAAGATGTTAATGACACTTGGTCGACCACCTTTTGTTGGTGGATTCCTGCTTCACATGCAGGAGGTGCTGGGTTCGAGCCCCGTAGGTGTCGTCCCATTCTTCTCTTTCCATTGGCGTTGGCAGCGGTTCTTGACACTGCATACACATAAGGGATTAGGGTTCCTAGATACCACCATGCCACCACCACTGCCATCAACTGCTATTCCATCGGAGACTCGACGTCTTTGGGTCCATGTCGCCGCTCATCCATCTGGTTCATGGTCACGTACTCTGTGTCTTCAGGCGTATTCTTCGTTCCATGCACAATATCGTCATTATATCCATCCCAGATGCAAGGCCATCGTATTGACTTAGAGGTTGGGGAGCCAAAAGAGCGTGTTGGCGTGGACGCTCCCGAGGAGGTGGCGTTGCGGGTTCCACTGCAGGTCAAAGACCGGACCGACGTGGCCTTGCAGGGCCGGGACCGTCACCGCGCCCGAGTGCGCGTCGTAGATGCAGATCGACCCGTCGTCGGCGCCGCACGCAATGTACTTGCCATCGGGCGAGTACCCGACGCCGAGCTTCGTGCCCGAGAGGTTCGAGTGGCTCGCAAAGATGCGTTTCTACATACACATTGTCGTCGTATCTTCCGTCTTTTCATTATACAACGTACCAATTTGCCTTCAAACGCATCGAGCTGGATGAGCACGCCAGCGTTCGTACTCAGGAGCAGATGCTGCTGGTCGGGGCTAAACGTCAGTGCGAGCACATCGAGCTTGCCGGTAAACTTGCGTTGCTGGAGCAACGGGCGCAAGACGGCCGCGATCGAGTCGTCCGTGAGCGGAAATTTGGCAAACGGACCCTAATCCACACGAATGATATCAGACAACTTGTCTATGAAAGATGGACAATACGTACGTCGGTAAAGTTGCGAGCGTCGTACATGCGCACAATGCCGTCGCCCGTGTAGACGCCAAACACGAGACCGTCCGTGTCGTAGGCCGCGCTGATGACGCGCCCTGCGTCGCCGCACTTGAGCTCGCCCTATCAAAGTCCTTCGTTTTGATGATACAAGGGCAGACGATGGTCGTACCCGCGCGTCCGGGCTGCGAATGTCCCATATCCGAAAGGTGCCATCCATCGACGCCGTCAGAAACTCATCGGCCGTCGGGTGCATCATGAGCGACGTGATCCTAGCACTCGCTCAGCGCCTGCGAAAGACGATTTGACGGCGTACTTGGCAGTGTGGCCCGCGTAAAAGCGCAGAAACTTGTTGTCAAAGAGCGAGTGATACCGGACCGAGTCTACCACGCTGGCATGAGCCATCGAGCCATCGAGATAGCACATGTGTACGGTCATTGGCGTCGTTCTGGGAGGACCACAGAAGGCAGTCGGGGTGGTGCGTCGTCCGCAGGAGATCCACGCCGTACTTCTTGGTCAGGATCGTCTTGTGCGACCTACGTAGCGCCATGTGAGGCCATGCGACGTAAGCTAGGCAGGTAGAACGTACGTGCCCGTGATGCAGTTGATGGCGTGGATCGTGCCATCGCTGCGCGCCGTGACGGCCACGTTGCCGGCGCGATGAAAGTCGATCGACGTCATGATCGCGTCTTCCTAGAGCATGTGCGCATGGGCCACGTGTATCGTGGAGGAAGGTGCGTACGTCGCCCGGGAAGACGCGCGCGATGCTGTAGCTGCGGACGACTGCGTCATTGAAGGCGAGCGGTGCTGCCATGGCCGTCGGTCTCGTGTTCCAAGGAATGGCGTATGGGCAATTAAATACCGACGTTGGCCTGTTTGATTCGAGTGGATCCGAAACTTATGTCGTTATCATACAAATGCAAAGAGTATTGAATAAAACATTCAAACATAAAGTGTACAATACTGTTTGAAACAGACAACAACTGGAATAAAAATACAGCCCAAGCCAACGGACCCCAGTATTTCCTGCCACCATGGACGCGCTCGAGCCCGTCCTTCTCCCGCTGCCCCGCGTCGTGTGCATGCCTAGCGCAGCGACCGCCAACGCAGCCGTGCCACCGATGCGTCTCTCGGACGACCAACGGCGCCACGTCCGTGCGCTGCGCCACCACGCGTTCCGGCGGGTGCAAGAGCACCATTTCAACTGCGCCGCGCTCCTGCATGGTAGCCTCGCGACGCGGTCCGTGGCCTTTCCCGACGCTGAAGAGGAGACCGCCAGTGCGACCGTCGAGGCTATGCTGCGCGCCCAGATCCAAGCGCTCACGGCAACGAACCTCGAGCTCGAAACCTCGCTGGCGGCGGCGACGGCCGAGACACAAGACCGCTTGGCCAAGCGCGATTGGGACGACGTCGCGATCGCGTTTGATGCGGATGTGCTGCTGGGCGAAGCACCAAAGCGCGCCAAGGTTCTCGTGTCTTTATAATTTAGGAGGAGATGTCGCTAGTATCGCGTTCTCACGTTGCACCGTATTGTATGACATCACGTTTCAGTCTCTGGCGAGCTACTAGTACGTGCTGCTGGCCTTGGACGAAGCTTCTACGAGACATGCCAAGATGTCATCGTCGATATCAAGCTCGAGCAGCGCCGAGGGCGGAAGCGGGTGGCGCGACCAGAGCAGTCGTATGCAGTCGAGATGACGATGCGCGATCGCAAACATCATGGCGTTGGCATTGCTTGGCTGGCACGTTTGTAGCAAGTAGGTTAGCACATCACTTCGTCCTGCATGCACTGCCGAGTTGATGGCGTCGGGCGAGGCATTGGCGCCGCAGGTGCCGATAAGGAAGGCAAGGGCTGCAAGTTGGCCACGTCGGGCGACGTCATCGACGAGCTGTGTCGGGAATGGAGGCGATGGACGCTGAACATGAAGCCACTGGAGCGCCGCAGAGTGCCCTTGGCGTGCCAACTCGTGCAGAAGGCTGTCGCTGAACAGCTCTTGTCGGCAGTACCAGAGGCGCTCGATCGTTCGCATTGGGTCTGGCGTGAGGAAGGCGCGCAAGACGCCTCTGCCTTTCCAGGGCCAGTCACGCCAGCGGAGTACGCCAGCGATCGGCAACAGGTCTTCGTAGACGCCATCCTGGAAGATGGCGATCGTCGTCCAGAGGTCGTGGCTTGCCAGCACGGTGCGAAGCGCCGAAGTCATGCTGTTCTGCAGCAGCAGAACCTCTTGTGTTTTGAAGTAACCGGAAGGTTGTGTGTTTTCTGTTTTTATGGGTTTATTAGGTTTATTTCACGCGCATTAGCTACGTAACCGGAAAGATACCGCAGGCAGCGCCCGCGAAAAGCATGACAAGGGCCCTTGACGGTGCGCACCAGACTCGTGGCTACGCGGTGGACTCGGGCAGGGGCACCAAGCTAGCTTCAATGCTCGTGTTGTGGACGGTCTGGGGTCCATGGCCCGCGTGCATGTCGCTGACCGACGACGTTCGCACGGGCAACAGGCCGACAACCGGGTACAGCTGGAGCGTCGCGCTTGGTGCTGGAAATATGATGGAAAAACTTACGTCCGTAGCGTCACATGTGATCGACAGCGTGTGGCTCTGGCGGTGCCACTTCACAAGAAGGTCCATGTCGGGTGGGAAGCTGTCGCTGTGCGGGTTGTTGGCCTGGAAGCAAGCGCCTCGGACCTCGTCCCGCGTGACGCGTTGATGGTGCCAGCAGTGCGCGACCATGCCGTACTGCACTTTGTCGTACTGCGGTTCAAAGCCTTCGATGGTCGTAAAGCCCAAAGCCACGTCGCTCACATTGCCGTTCGCGGTCAAGTGCACGCAAAACTGGTCGCAAGGGGTCGTGCCTCGTGCGAAGCGCATCGAACGCACTTTATGGTGCACGGCCACGACACGCTCGTGGCCCGTGATCTCGAGACCTGCACCGCAGCTCACATAGTCCCACGACGGAATGCTTGTCGTGTTGCGAGAGACGAGGTGCAAGCATATGCGGAGGCGGTCGACCTCTGTCCGTTCCCACGACTGGAGGCCTGCGTACAGCGACGCTCCGCAGCGGAGGTGGTTGAGGACACGGTCAAAGTACTTTGGGTCCAGGTCCAAAAAGTAGCTTCCTAAGCGTATAATCTGAGCGTTGAGAGTGCGAAGGGATGACACGCGTACCGTCGCTTTCGGGCAGCCATTGGCCGGACGCGATCGCATCAAAGCGCGAGCCAGGAACCGAGCGCAGTGTCGTCCACGACGTCTTGAAGCGCGTCCCGCCCACGTCGAGAACAATCGGCGCGTCGCTCATACGATTGGACTGTGTTGAAATGAGTTATTAAATGATTGGACTGTGTCCAGTCAAAAAGGAAATTTGGGTTTTCATGGAAGCTTTCCACAGAACCCGGTCGTGTTGTTTTGTCCAACTCGGCCGGGTTCGACGATTGCAACATGTGTGTGTGTGCGTGCGCTCCGTGTCTTGATTGTTATTTGCTTATTGCAACAACAAAGCACAAAGATGACTATGAGAATTTAGGTTAAATGCAGCGCAGCGAACGTACTGCCTTGTGTGGAATAAACTCGGTGTGGCTGGACGCAGTAACCTGGTTGGCACGTTGGGCCTACGGAACGGACCCCAGCGTTGGCACCAAGCGAGCATCAATGCTGAGATACGCATCGATTGGCCAGTCGTACATGCAGTGACCAAGCGAGCTGCTTCCAGGCTCGAGCCCCACAATTGGATACAGCTCGTGTCCATAGCTCTCGGGAAATATTTTGGAAAAGTTGACGGCCGCAGCTTCACACGTGATCGTCAGCGTATGACTCTGGCGGTGCCAAGTCACGAGAAGGTCAACGTTATGCGGGAAGATATCCTTGTCCGTGACACTCCCCGCTCGCTTGATGCGCAAAACGTCGATACAAGTCGCAAACATGCAGTACTGGATCACAACACGGCGCACACCAAAGTCGCTGATCGCTCCAAAGCCCAGGGCCACGTAGCTCCCGCCGCCGCGTGCTATCAAACGCACACAGAACTGGTCGAAGGGGCGACTTGTCCGTGCAAAGCCCATAGACTTACTGGCACTGTGTGTCGAAATCTGCGTACTCGAGACCAAAAGACCCGCGTCGCAACTCGGAGGATCCCACGAGGGCGTAGGCGTCACCCCAGCACTGTCGAGACTCAGGGATGTGCGGAGTCTGTCGACTTCCGTCGTTTCCCATGGCTGGAGACCAGCGTACAGGGATGCTTCGCAGCGGAGGTGGTTGAGCACACGGCCAAAGTACGTCGGATCCACGTCCAAAAAGTAGGTTCCTAACAGTCATACTTATCACAGTGCAAGCGCGGCAAGCGTACCATCGTTCTCGGGTTGCCACGAGCCGGACGAGATGGCGTCGAAGCACGAGCCAACCACCGAGAGCAGTGTGGTTCTCGACGTCTTGAAGAGGGTACCGCCCACGTCCAAGACGATGGGTTCTCTGCGCATCTTGCCTCTGGTCGAAATTAAAGTGTGCTGCGTTCCATGCAGCACATCAGGCATCTCGTTGTTTGTTGTCTCATAACGGGGTGATTTGCCCTGACTATTTCGTTGTGAGGAGCGCCGCCATATGGTGTGCCTGTGCCACGATGGTTCAAGACCGAACTAGAAACGCAGTCTGCTGATGTATACGAACTACCTATGCGAGCATAGTCAAGCAAAAAGGATATAGCTCGCCGTCGGTTGCAGTAGCACGAGGTGCACTTCAGAGGTGCAATCCCAAGCGTAAACCAGTCCTGGATCGAGCGAGACGGGCGGGCTATCTGGATGACATTGTGGCAACAATATCGCTCAGCTCCAAACGTCAGCGGCACGTCAAGGCGCACGATAGACATAACTCAAGCCAATCAGCCAGGGGTCCGTCATTCCGGCCGTACTGATCCCGTAGATGTAGCACTTGTGTTACCGCACACTGCGCTAGTTATCGCGACTTGCTGCTTTGCCCTGTCGAGCAGATCCATGGACTTGAAAACCTCCGCCCAGCCATAGTTAAACACAAGACGCAGAATCGTCATCGCGAGTGTTTTGAATGGTCGACATATCGTGCTGCCACGTCATGCAAAATACTGCTCGTAACCAAAAGGTTTCGCGAATCGAAGTGTGTCACTTCGATTGAACTCTACAAGCAATCGCCAAAGCAAGATAACGCGACAATAGTATTATTATTCCCTAGGGTCCAAGCTACGAGAGGGGCCCTGGCAGCGGTCTCAAATGCGCTTCAATGCTCGTGTTCTGGATGGGCCCGGGTCCGTAGTGCGACGTTGTTGACCACCTTCCCACCCGCAAGAGCCCCACAGTGGGATAGAATGGTTGCTCGTCAGAAAAACCCGTCGCGGGAAAGCTCATGGAAGAAACAGCACCTTCGCACGCGATCGACAGCGTGCGGCTCTCGCGGTGCCACGTCACGAGCAGATCGACGTCGAGTGGGAAGCTGTGGTTGTGCGGGTTGTCGTCTTGGAGGCAAGTGCCTTTGAACATGTCTCGCTGGACGCTTCGATCGCGCCAACATGGTATAGTCGTGTCGTAGCGCAGCGCTTGATATTGCGGTCGACGGTCCTTGTGCGATGTAAAGTCCAAGACCACGTCGCTTTTGCGCCCGTTCGCTGTCAAACGCACGCAGTACTGGTCGCACGGCTGCATCGTCCGCACATAGCGCATTACCGGCACCTTCGCCTCGATGGCCACAACACGCGCGTGGATAACGAGCAAAAGACCCACGTCGCAGTTGAGGTAGTCCCACGTTGGCGTCGACTGTGCTGCTGTAATATCGAGACGCAGAAGCATGCGGAGTCGGTCGATCTCTGTCTCTTCCCACGACCCAAGTCCTGGGTACAGCGACGCTCCGCCCCGAAGGTGGTTGAGCACACGGCCAAAGTACGTTGGGTCCAAATCCAAAAAGTAGCTTCCTAAACACGATAAAAATGAAGAGAGTCCAGCACTGGACGAAATACCGGTACCATCGTGCTGGGGCAGCCATGTGCCAGACAAGATGGTGTCGAAGCGAGAGCCTCGCACCGAGAACAGCGTCGACGTCAAAGTCTTGAAGAGCGTTCCACCCACGTCGAGCACGATTGTTCCATTGCTCATGTTGGACTGCGAGCGCAAATCGACAAATGCAATTTGATTGTTCAGTGGGCAGCAAAAAATCAACAAGAGAGCTCGTGACAAGTACCTGGTCAGTCCTCGTCTAGAAACGAGCTAACGACAGTTGGCACAGAAGTTACGACAATTGTTTAGTGGTCGTGGCACATCATTCTCGGGCAACGCACAGGACAACATGTTGATTGGAGTCAAATTCCTCTACAGTATAAAGTTGAGTCAAGAATACTTTGTTTATGTACACGACCAGCCAACCCGTTCTTAGCGTCTTGTCGGCTCCAGTAGCACAAGATACGCATTCATAGGCGCAATCTCCAGCGTAAATCGGTACTTGATCGCGACGGGCGGGCTCTCGCCATAGACATCATGGAGAATCGCGCGGTCGCACGTCTTGTCCACGACGTCGCTCAGCTCAAAAACCAGCGGTACGTTGTACTGCGGCTCTTGCACGTCGAGTCGCAAGGCGAGCAGCAGCGTCATGACCTTTCCATGCAAAACGACCGCGCGTCGCCAGATTTGAATGCCGTTGGCCAACGACCCCAAAAGCTCCTATCGCATATAAAGTATCAAGATCCGTCAAACAAAAGTAGCGTACCGGCGGCGACGGCATCAAGGCCTCTAGCGTCAACTGCGTCACGAGCGGTTGTTGCAACAGCGCCCGCGTACGATTCGATATGGCCCACGGCTCGATGTCGACGACAAGCGGTGCATGCAAGAGCAGCCAAATGCCGAGCTGAAGCCGATTCTGCCCTTCGGTGAGCGCATAGCCGCCGACGAGCAAACCGCCTACGTCCACCGTGTGAGTACCTGACTCTACACGTCGAGGTGGATCACCAGGGTGGTGCGCAATCATGTCGCCGGGCGGCAGCGCCAAAAGCGCGCGAAGACGGACTTGAAGCGCCGCCCAGTTGTCTGGTAGTGTCGGTTGGGTCGTCAATGTTGCGCAATACGGCGTAACAAGACTTGCATTCACCGGAAATTGATCCAAAACGCAGTCGAGCGCCAGCGGTGGAACATGGCGCTTTGCTATCGCATGCAGCGTCGAGAGCCGAAAGTAAAAGCTTGAGGACGCCGATGCAATCGAGCACGCGTGGACAAGCAGCCGCGTGACGTTGGCGGCGCCCAGCGTCTGCACGTCGAGCTCGTAGTGACCTTCGGACCCCGCCATGTCTACTCGCATCACCGCATGAGCGCGCACGGCTTGTGACGTTATATAGGCTCGTACGCTTGCATGTGGTCGGGCCAAGTTCGATGCCCATGGCCACGTCAAGCCCTTTCGCTTGGATGGACGCCACCACGCCTGCCAGGCCACCTACAGCAGCATGTTTCATGAAGAGCGAGCGTGGAGGTGCTGTACGTGAAAAGCGAGTGGCATCTGCGACCAATCGACCTGATGCGTCGCGCTCGATGGCCGTCCAGCCGTCGTTGATGTCGATCCAGCGGTAGCCTGCGTCGACGTACCGCTGCTGCACGAGTACGTCGGCCATGGTCTCGTAGAGGGCGGCGCTGATGCAGCGAATCTCTGGCGAGCTGGGATTGCAATCGAGCGATGTGTTGATGTAGGTTGTCCAGCCCGAGATGGCCATGCGCGGCGCCAGCGCGTTGACGCATGTCACGGCGGCGATGGCCGCTGCCCACCGCATCTTCGCTTTTGAGTTGCACTTTCCCGTTGCTAATGCGATGCAGATTGGCTAAAATAGACTTGGAATGCAGCCAATCGAAGCTCCGTATTTGCGATCTTCCCAATAGGATGCATCAGATGATATTACGCAGGCATCTAGTCAACCAGCAAACGTGCTTGAAAGTAGCTGTTGATGCCCATTCACGCAGGTAGTATACACGACATAGGTAGAGCGTGTTGGCCGTAAATGGCGTCGCCCAGCTTCTCGTCCACCAGTGTCACTTACTTGTTCTTGCGATCCAACGTGATAACGCACTTGGCGCAGCCCAAGCGCGACACGAAGCCGAGGTGGAACTGCAGCCCACAGTGTGAGGGCGAGTGCAATTCAAGATGGACCTTGGAGGCATCTTGAGGCTACACGGCAAGAGCACGCTCGCCGGAGACTTGGAGCACTGAAAGCCCCGATTGAAACGCACCGACATTCGTCCGAGAGGACGGTGTTGGGGCCGCAGTGTCCCGGATCCCACTGCGCTCCCCGGAGGCTCAGACCCATCGTCTCGACCATCGCAAAGACGTGTGTGGTGTCGCTGCGGCCGTCAAACAGAGGGCTCTTGTACTGCAGGTACTAGTAGTTGACCAGAAACAAGGCAGGATTGAGCTCGATGGCGTAGACGCGGGAGTAGCTGTCATCTACACATATAAGAACACAATATATCCAACGCACCCAATGCAATTTCATAAGGCGACATTTCAGCGAACTTGCGGATGAGGTAGAGGTGTCCCTGTGGGCTTAATACGGCGTCGTGTCTCGCCTCAACGATCGTGCCGCGGACGTTCAAGACCAATGTTGCGGCCACGGCTGCTCCGGCAACGAGTCGCGGAATGTACGTTAAGTCGTCGCTCTGGCTGATGGATTACGACAACATAGAAAACGACTGGGAGCTAGTCGATTTGATCCGAGCTTGGCTCGCTGTCATGGTTCACTAGAATGCTTGGTCTCCAACAATAGACCGCATTCTCGCTCCAGAACCAAGGAGCCGGCTGCTAAAGGCACATATCCAAGGTACTAGTACAGTCGAAGCTGTCTAATTGCATATCCCGAAACTCGATATTCCTCTCCAGTGTGATACCGTCCGACCTTGATTTTTTACAGCTCAAACGTAATAAAATAAATTTGATTCACGCAGCCAACCATTTGATCCGCAAAGCAACCCGCCGAATGACCAAGAAGCCGCCACACGCAGATCCTACCCAGTACCAAGCGCGCCGTGTCCAACCCAGTTACGGAGATGGACGAGCTTGGCGCAGCAATGAAGATGCTCGCTGTCGGAGCTCATGCAAGAGGTTTTGCCTTCGACGTGCCCTCAGCTGCAGAGTACGTTGACTCTGGCGAAACGGACGACTTGACGCTCTTGGGGTACCTCACAATCGACCAGATTTGCGACTTCGTGAGCTACGTCGACGAGGATGATGAGGTCGTTTAGATATTCAACTCCGCTCTTGAATGCGACCAGTTTTGATCATCACAAAAAAATATTATTCATGGGCTTTATATTTCTTGCCTTGCACAATTAATATACCTCTCAGATGTATAAATTATCCACTATGCAATTAGACAGCTTCGACTGTACAGTATTCACTAAATGCGAAGCGACAGGTCAATCGCTATCGACATGTTGTGCGATGCCATAACACTGATACCTCGAGAAGATGCGTTTGGACCAAG